TGAAGCACCAGAATCCATGACCCAGGAATCCACATTGCTCTCCGCACAACAAGTAAGAAGGACCTCTTCATCACTCGCGGAGCCTTCAGCAATGTTCACTTTCTTGTCATTCGGGCATTGATTCCTATAATGCCCCACCTCCTTGCACTTCCAGCACGTTACACCTGAGCTGTCACGAGTCTTCGACTGACTCCTTTGTATGTTCCTGCTCCCACTACCTCTGTTATTTTTTCTGCCTCTACCAACATGAAGCAATTCACCAGATGACTCCCCCGAACTCTTTCTTCTGACATCCTCACCAAGAACGAGATCTCGAATCTGATCAAAGGTGAATACATCAGGCCCCACTGAACCGGTAACCGCTGTAACCGTTCCGGACCAACTATCAGGCAAAGACGATAGCAGTAGCAAAGCTTGAACTTCATCATCGAACTTAATGCCCACTGACGCAAGTCTGCCTAAGATCGGATTCAACTTGTTGATATGCTCGGTAACTGAAGTGCCTTCTCTCATTTTTGTGTTCACCAGCTCTCTAATCAGAAAAACTTTGTTAGCTGCAGATGGCTTCTCGTACATGTTAGACAGCGCTTCCATGATTCCCTTCGCTGTCTTCTCCTTCAGAATGTTGAACGCAACATTCTTGGTTAACGAGAGACGGATCACGGACATTGCTTTCCGATCCAAACCTGCCCAATCTGCATCCGACATCTTTTCTGGCTTGTCACCCAATACCACGTCCAAATCTTTCTGAATCAGCAAATCTTCAATTTGCATCTTCCACCAACTGGAATCTGTACCATCGAACTTCTCAATTCAGAACTTCCCGTCTTCTGCCATATCACACGACTAGACGAGATACCCGGTACAACTAATTTCAGATCTTGGTAATTTTGTCAGAAAATCAGGCCCACCACACCAATTAAATTAGCCAAAACAAATCAGCCCAATATCCACCCACCAATTGCAGCCCACGAGTAACACCAAATTCAAGCCAAACTCCCAAAAAAAAGAATAATGGACTGACCAATTGAAATAATTGGCCTACTGCACCTTCCCCACTTTTTTAATCCTTCCGCACCTGCCACAAAAAAAAAGGAAAAACAAACCCCAAAAAATGGGCTGACAGACACGGCCCAACCCCCTTTTTATTGTTTTCTTCTTCGATTCAATTAGGGCGGCGGCGGCGATGGCTTTGGAATTTGGCGGCTGGACTGCCTTCTGCACAGCCTATCCAACGGTGATGCGTTCTGGACGGCGG